GGTGAGGCACCCCCGGCGTGCGTGGCCGCCTGTTTTTTAGGTTGGGCGCTCCAACAGTGCAAGTTTTGTAGCCTTACGGTAGATGGGGTGGCATCGCAGAACGCAAATGTTAAAAATTAAGTCTTTTTCTCAGGATGCTGCGTTAAATAGAGCAGCTGTAGTTACCACGTGGATTTTAGTAGTTCAACAAAACATCTATATTGTGTGGGTTTTTTTAAACAAATAGAGCTGTTTATCAAAATATTCCTATTTGGAGCCCTCAACATACGAAGGACATGGACCTGCTGGGAGCCGGTCTAGAGAAGGGCCCAAAAGATGGTCAGAGGGCTGCAGCACCTCTCCTATGAAGCCAGGCTCAGAGAGTCAGGGCTGGTCAGCCTGGGGTAGAGAAGGCTCTGGGGGGACCTTATAGTGGCCTTCCGGTATCTGAAGGGGACCTACAAGAAAGCTGGAGAGGGACTTTTTACAAGGGCACATAGTGATAGGATGAGGGGTAACAGTTTTAAACTGAAGAGGGTAGATTTAGATTAGATATTAGGAAGAAATTTTTCACTCTGAGGGTGGTAAGATGCTGGAACAAGTTGCCCAGGGAAGCTGTGGATGCCCCATCAGTGGAAGTGTCAGACCAGGCTGGACTGGGCTTTGAGCAACCAGGTCTAGTGGAAGGTGTCTCTGCCCATGGCAGTGGGGTTGGAACTAGGTGATCCTTCCAATGTCCCTTCCAACGAAACCATTCTATGATTCTATCTCAACCTGTTCAGACCATTTGCTACAAAAACTTATTGAAGAATGTGAATATCAGATAGAGATGGTTTTGTGTTGCTTCTTGTTAGGAAATGTGTCTACAATTCTCTTGCTCCTGTCCTCATGTATGTTAGAGTCTGTTGTCTTCTCCTATTTTCAGTACTGGAGAAAACTTGTAAACACAGGTAGGTGCAAAGAACCTAGAGACCAGCCTAGCTGTTTACCCCTCTTCTTTTAATGGAGAACATGCTTTCTAGCTAATATCGTGCTTGTCATGCTTCAGTGGCTGGGTTAAGAGTGGTAATTTGATCTGCTGTGGAATCCGATGGTGTAATTCAAGGTCTTGCTTGCCTTTCAGCTGTGGCTGCTGCCAAAGAGATGCAATCTTGTCTTCCTCTGGTTGCATTTTTATACCCTTGTGGGAAACTGGACTGGGAAGCCAATATGACTTTTAAAAAAGTTTGTTTTTTTTTTTTTTTTTAATGGGTTAGGTTTAAATAGTTCCCCAGTCTGCTGAGAATCATGCTGGGCACGGTAGGACCTCTACTTTCAGGATGGTGTGGTTTATGCCATTTTAAAGCGTTTACACAAAAGAGGTTTTTTTCACTGTGCTTCCAAAAGATCCTAATAACTTGACCTTATTTGTGAAGTGTGTCAGACCAAAATTCATGGCTTCGACGTGTGATCTCTGTAAGACCGCTGTGCAGCTGGATTTACTGTTCTGTTTAAAAATATTTTATCGGCTAAACAAGATGTTCTTTAACCATATATTGTTACACTTTTCAGCCCTGAAATTCAACTATTTGTGGAATTCTTTTTAACTGAACAGGTCTGAATCACAAACCTAAGAGGGGTTTTTGAAGAGTTTTAATTCTTGCACTCGCTTGAGACCTAAATTGCTACAAAACTAGATCTTTGAAAAGTCCTCATATTTAGTGTCAGCTGATAGAATTGTAGTTAGTAAACATTTTTTTTTTTCATATAACGACTAACATGATTGCTTGCCAAGTCCTTAAGATACAAAATAACATAACTGGATTAATTAATTGTTTTTGAACACAGCTGATAAGTTGTGCTTCAGCAAAATGGAACTCATAAGTGAAAACTATTACAGACATCCCTTCTCCAAAGTTGCTTTTTCTTTACATTGCAGAGATAACTAGCAAAATGATGACTGGCTGCTTACCTTAATTGCTCTAAAATCCGTGATATGCTTTATGCGTTCTTTGGAGGAAAAATAATCTGATTTATGTGTAATAGAATTTTTCAGATTTCTAATTAGTAATATTCTACCGATCCTGGGTTTCACAGGAGAGCATTGTTTTCATTCTTACCCAAAGTAAGCTTTCTGTCCAGTTGCTGCAGTAGGTCCTCATCAGTATTTATTTTAGATGCTATAAAGCAACTTAATTTTCTCTTGCAAGACTATGGCTGCTTACATGGGTATCCTGAAGGAAGATGGAGTGGAATATGGAATGTTTTAAACAGATCTCTTTTTCCATACTTGTGGGTTTTTTTGCAGCCCTTCGGATTAAGTGGTGACCAGGTATATGGGTTATGGGACTGACAGGAATTTCTCTAGCAGCAATGCTGCTAAAAAAACCTTATCCCATAATTGAACTGTGTGTTTCTGTTGTTGCTTAAATTTACTATCAAATATGGCTAATCACCATAACTTTAATCTCAAGTGCTGTTGATTGTTGTTAAAACACGTTGTTAAAAATACTTGGTTTTCAAGTGTCATTCCAACTTTGACCTACTTCTGTATGCACTCGGATTCCCATTACTTGTTCTAAGTAATACAAATTGAAGATCACTGTTGCTTAGAAGTTAATTTCCATGCAGTTGATTCTATGCATTTTTAAAATTTTTTTTCCACACAGGTGTAGAAAAATGGCAAAGAGAATTGCAGAGAAGGAACTGACTGACAGAAACTGGGATCAGGAGGATGAAGCTGAGGAGGTAAAATACACATTAGATTCCCCTCTCACCCCTGCAGGTAGTGGGATCTTTATTTGCATGTGCAAATATCTTGTGGGTGTAATCTACAGTATAATTGGTTGAAAGTGTACCAATTAAAGACAATTTTATATAAGTGATTTTTTTTTTTTTTATATAAAGCTTCCAATATAGGCAGACCATATGGCAAAGCAGCTTTTAACAGTTAAAATGACATCAGCAGCTTAGGGGAAATGAACTTTACATTTCTAAAGGGAACCCCAGACTTGTTAAAATGCATAATCCTTCAAATGCATGATGGGTATACATTGATTTCTTAGAATCATAGAATGGTTTGGGTTGGAAGGGACCTTAAAGATCATTTGGTTCCAACCCCCCTGCCATGGGCAGGGACACCTCCCACTAGACCAGGTTGCTCAAAGCCCCATCCAGCCTGGCCTTGAACGCTTCCAGGGATGGGGCATCCACAGCTTCCCTGGGCAACGTGTTCCACTGTCTCACCACCATTTATTGAGATAGTTGACTCTAGGCTTCACTGATATAACACAGTCTAGATAAATTTTCTTCATGTCTCATGGCCTTTTTTTAAGGTCAGTAATAGTTAATTTCAGAAATACGCAGTGCTTAGCTGAATGTCCCTATACAGCCAGAGGAATTAAGTAAACAGTCAAATGATACGTTTAATCTGATTGTAAAAAGACTTTAATGTCTCGTGTTTATTTATGGCTTGTGTATTATCTCTAAATGAACTGTGCTAGCTTCTGTGCTACGAAAATATTAAATGTTTAGGCCTATAAAAAATGATAAAGAAAACTGACGGTACTCTTCCAGAAATCTGAATATAACAAAGCTTAATTTCCTCATTTATTGTGGGATAATAATTGGTCATTAGCTGCCTTTGCTAATACTTGAACCTACAGCAAACTGCAGGAGATTGACTTTGACTGTACATCTCAATATACCTTCTCTAAACTGAAGTTTTTGTAACAGTGCAGTACTGACAGATTACCATCAGCAAAGAGATATCATGTCTGTTTAAAAAAAGAAGCTGAATTATTTGTTGTAATAAAATTGTGATTGCACAAAGGGAAATGTAATGCAGAACAAGAAAGAGTTTTGAAAGTATCAACTGATTGTCCAAGTCGCTGGCAAGCTAATCAAATGTATTTTCTGGGTTGGTTTGTTGGTTGTTTTTTTTTTTTTTTAAAACTTATTTGTTAGGGAGAAGTGTTACAGTTGTGTTCAAAAAGTGATCTCAGCCATCTCTTCAGACTGTAATGACTATATGCATTCTGAGAAATTCACTAATGATTCCGTAACTTCTTCTTAAAGGTGGGAACCTTCTCAGTAGCTAGCGAAGAAGTCCTGAAGAACAGAGCTATTAAAAAAGCAAAGCGCCGAAATGTTGGATCAGAGGTATTGTAATCATTGAGCATTAATGTTGTAGTTTGACTCAGTTGCAAAATATGGCATCCGTGCTCATTCTTTTACTTATTTGGGCTTGTAATAATACTGTATAAAGCTATCATTTAGAAAGTATATGCAATTAGTCCAGCTTATACATGCAAGTTAATTTTTGCTTACCATTCCATAGCAAGAATAAGGCTAGAATGAAAAATGGAGAATACTGGTATTGACTGGGTGAAGGGAGATGTGTATTTTTGATGTATAAATGCAGAGTGTTTCAGACACAGTGTCTTCTACAGTTCGGTAAAATAGCATTTGAACTGTTCCAGTTTCATTCTTTGCAGAGATGAAAGCCTGGAAATCAAGTTACTAGTTGTCCATGATGGAGGACTGGGGGATGTCTCAGGCAGACACTAAATAAAGGCCAAAATATTAAGCTGTTCTTAGAATTAAAAAGATGTCTTTTGTTAAAAATGCTGCTACTTTTCTTTTTCTCCTGCAAAGAGCTTTAGTGCCACCTACTCTTTGCAATAACAAATTAAAAATTGAAAGGAATTTGGCCTTTGTTACAGGTTTAGTCCCTGTGAAAGCATTAACCCAGTCCAACCAAATTGTAGTCCTTTCAAAAATCCTTGACAGATGCTTTGTCATATATATCTTTCTATGAAACATTATTTCAACAATGCATGCCCTGTGTTAAAAGTAGGACAGAAACTTTACCTATCACTCAAATTGATTTTGGATTGAATGGGACTAAGCACAACTGGGGGCTAGATAGTTTTCTCCTGTGCTTCTGTTTCCCTTCTGCTGTCCAAGCAATGTAAATGAGGAAGCTGTCCTATCCTACTTTTGCCTATAGTGGTTTTAGCCACAAATGTGGTAGAGGATGCAGTTAATTAAGGGATTGTACCGCAAAAAGGTGATGCAGGAAATAAACCACAGCTGAACAGGAGGAATTCAGGGGCAAATGGAATAGGAAAAATGGAACTGACTGAGAAAGGGGACCGGGTGATTGTAGAAGAAATAGTCAGGAGGCTGGAAGTCAGTGGTTAGAGATCAAAGCTGGAAGAAGAGCTGGGATAGGCTGGGCAAAGTCTAAAAAGCAAAAGACACGGCAGGGTAGCTGAGGCTAGGTAACCTTTGAAATAGTTACAAAAAGGTAAACTTGAAAATTATTGAAGCCCCTAGGTGGAGTAAGCAGAATGCTGTAAGAAAAAGACTGCAGTTTAATTTGAATGTCCAGAAAGAGAGGTAGGAAGGACTGATGAAAGAGCAAAAATAGCTACCTAGAAATGAGAAACAGAGGACTGCACTGGAAAAGGTAAAGCACAAAGGAAAACAAAAAGAGCTCATACCCACAAGGCCAGGTACTGGAGTAGAACCTCAGATTGGTAAGTTTTGCTATTTCTTCAGTGGTAAAAGCAGATAAAAATCAGAAGCAAATCTCCTTTTCCTCGATGGCTTTCCAGAGACATTGAAAGTTCACTTCTGGTAATAAGTGGTCATTACGTCAAAAGACATTATGTGTAGTACCTAAAAGTTGTAGCCTATTTGCATGTTAATCACGCTGAACCTTTTAAAAACATGTAAGAAATTATACCATAAAACAATATGGTTGTAAAGGTAGAGTTCAGAACTAGGTAATGAAAAGGCTGCAGAAAGCATACGCGTTATGTTATGAAGTACAGTCTGTCTTTGCTTCTCCCATCAGTCACATTGGAATATTTTTGGTAAATCACTTAAATGTTACATAGGTGACTACAAAATACGCTGTTTTGATGACTGACTTGAAGTGTTGGACTCCAGTTGTGGTTGTAAATGCTAAAAGTTCCTGAAAATAAGCCTGCAATTATATATTGCTATGTAATTATTTAAAGAAAACAAGATGCTATGAATGTCTAAATAGGTAGTCAAACACATCCGCTGCTCCAAACAACTTTTATGTATCCACTTCCTATATCTAGTTTATTTTCATACCAAACATCTGAGTCCTTTAAAAATAGTAGCAATATGTGTCATAAGGAAGCTATTAACTTTGTTTACATAGCTGACTTAGAATAAGGCGTGAAATAGCACACTGAACCAGGATAAAATAAACGGAATATTAAGTGGGCATAGGATTTTTGTGGAGATGTATGTAACTGGTTATCTTTTTTTTTTTTTTTTTTTTCTTTTTTTCTCCCCCTCCCCCCCCTCCCCCCCAGTCTGAAAGTGGAGGAGCCTTTAAAGGGTTTAAAGGCTTTATATTGCCTTCTGGAAAAGGAGGAGGTGGCTTCAGCGGATTTGGTAATGGTGCAGGAATAAAGCCTTTAGAAGGGCTGTCTAACGGAAGCAGTAGTATCTCTAGCACTCCTACTTTCAGCAGTTTAAAGACCACCTCTGAAACGCAGTCAGCATTTGGTAAGTTTTAAATAAGCATGCATATTTGACAGCAAATTCAGCAGTAAAATCTGTAGGGTTACTTTAATAGTGAAAACCCAAATGCAGACAACCCTGTAGTTCTGTTTTAAGGTTTTCAGACTTTATTCCTCTTTGTAAGATTTCTAGAAAAGATTTTTAGACTGCTGGAGGGACAAGTTATCAAATGCATGCAGTGTTAAGAGGTGGAAACTAAATTTGTATTTGATCTAATACAGCTGTACAGGTGCAAATGGGAATGGAAGACATTGGCATAAGACACTCTCCAAATAGTGTAAAACAGCTGGTAACATGTTCCAGTTAAATAATTGTCCCAGTTCTCTGAATTTAATTAAAAGAAAAAAGCTAATGGAAAATGTCCATTTAGTAAGACTGCAGTTTCATTATGTGTGAGGGTTTTTTTGAAGGAGTGTGGGGGGGTGGAGGGTGGGGGGTCGTTTCTTTGTTTTGTTTTTGTTTTAAGGTCTTGTCTCTGTATTTTTTGCAGTTCTTGGTAAATATATGCTGCATAGCTGAAGTCTTAACCTTTTTTCCCTGCACCTGTTACATTACAAACAGTCGTACTAGAATCTTATCTGTTACATTCATACCTACATTTTAAGGCACTTGAAACATTTTGGCAAATCTAACTCTAGTGTTATGCTTTGGTAGTGCCTGAAGAATATTGGTTCTATTCCTTTGTGTTGAAGATGTAGAAATGTTAACCATACCACACTGTCTTAGAGTCAGCATGCCACAGGATAAAAATGGTGGAGTTTGAAGTTTACAGTAACTTAGATTTCAGTGAGCTTAACTAAATTAGGAGTAACTTAAATATTTAACAAGAATTTTCTTAATTTGCATATTACGGTTTTTATATGGAAACCATCCAATAACGTGCAAAATCATGGGCTAGTGCGTTCAGAGTTTTTTAAAGCATGAGTAGCAAGAGGATAAGTGAATATTTTGTTTTAATAACTGTTACAGCTTGGTAAAACTTGAATTAAGATTTTGGGAGATTTGGTGAAATACAAAACTTCTCTTTTTTTTCAGTTTTATCCTGTAAGATTTCTTTGGATTTTTTTATACAACTGTGTGCCGCATCTGTCCCTGAACTAACGTACTTGTCTAAACTTATCGAGATTAGGTCTCTTTCACAACACTGTTTGTTTACTTGTACCACAGGATCTGGTACACAGTGTTTTGATAAAATACAAGGTTCCTAGCTGAGCAAGAATGAGTGATTTGATAAAGAAACACTGAGAACATTTAGTTTAGGGTTTTGAGAATTGTTCTTTCTTGGGGGGGGGAAAAGTTCTAAACCACGTTTTTCTTCTAATAGGATCCACAATGTCAAATGGTCCTACCACTACTGCGTTTACTGAGAAGGCGGCTGCAAGCCCGAAAGCTAATGGTGGCAGTCAACCATCCTCATCTGGCTACGCTCAGAGTAAAGTTTGTAGCTCTAGTGTTTACCACAAACAGTTAGCAGCTTTAAACTGTTCTGTGCGTGACTGGATAGTTAAGCATGTAAACACAAACCCACTCTGTGACCTGACACCCATCTTCAGAGACTATGAGAAGTATTTAGCAAATATTGAACAGCAACATGGAAGCAGTAGTGATAGTGGCTCTGAAAATGAAAGCAACAAGACACCTGGCGCTCAGTCTGTTTCTACGTTTGGGAATTCAAAGCTACAGCAAGGATCAACTTTTTTGTTTAACAGCACCACCACTGAGGATACCTCGGACAAAAAACCTGAAGCTGCATCCGAAAAAAAAGACCCGTCATTAGGAGCTACATCAACCGTCTCATTTAATTTTGGCAAGAGTGTCGACAGTTCTGTTTTGGGTTCCCTTGGTTCAGGAACGCTTAGTAGTTTCTCATTTTCTCCTGGGAACTCAGGTTTGTTTGGAAAAGATGCAAACCAAGCTAAGTCTGTCACTGCAGTATCTACCAATGTATTGGAAGCTCAGACAGAAAGTGGAAATAGCGATGATAAAGGTAAATTCTATTTAAAACACTGATTTTAATGGTAAGCCGTGAATGTGTGTATGTGACTTAAGAATACTGCAAAGATGAAATAATAATAAGTTGAACTAGATAATAATTGTTCTTGAATTTAAAAGCTGCAAAACTGTACCACTAATCTGGAAATACTCGAGTCTTGCATGCTGCTTAGGAAACACTAAATGTATATGGTTACCAAACCCTGTGTATTTCTATCAGATTTATACTTTCTGTAATAGAATACAATTCTTGACCTGAATACAAGACTTGAAACGATGAAACTGGAATGTTCCATCTTCGAGCCTGCAGGACGTTTCAATCCTGCTGCTTTTCCCAATAGGTTTATCAAGAGATCTCTCAGTAAAATGCGTAAGATGCGGAACAATTTCATTCATCTTTCTTACAAGACTGTAAGGCAAATGAAGTTGCATACTACCTGACAGTTTTATTCTACTATTTAGCTAAGCTGGGTACAGTAAACTGATAGAAATCCTAGCAGTTGAGGGACTGGAAAGTCGTAATCATGCCACTGTCTCTTGGCTGGCATTCCTGCAACTCATTACCCTTCCATCAACTTAAACTTGGTTGTTGGAAGTGTTTATTGTGCTTTACTTGGACCCGTTTGTGGAGTCTATTCTTTGAAATGTTACAACTTTCCCCCCGACAGAAGGTTTTGACTGAAGTTTGACTTGTTCAGCTTTGCATTATTTAGCTTTGATTGTTTGGTGGGGGGGTTGGGTATTTTTATCCCATTTAAATGGAAGATGAGCATAAAGTTGCTTGAGGGCTGTGGCTGAATGAAAAGAAAATAAGACTTTTTTCTGTAACTGAAGCTGCTTCCGAACCCACATGGATTGAAATGTATTTTAGCAATCACAGACAGGCTACACCTGTATATGTCAAATACAGCATGCATAAGCTAGTTCTAGTACAATGCCAAAAATACCTTCCAGATTATATGCTTACAACATTAACATATGGAATTATTAAAACTTTTTATTTAAAGGAGGAGAAGATGAGGAAGAAGAGCCACCAAAAGTCATTGTTAATGAAATAAAAGAGGATGATGCTTTCTACTCAAAGAAGTAAGTGACTTTAACTTGGAATAGTGAATAGACTTGTAACTTTGAGAATAAAATTCATACTTGTGTATTGCTGTTCTTCACCACTGCAGTGCATAATCAATATTTTCTTGACTTCCTAGTTAATAAAGCTTGTTAGGAAGCCATATAGAATATGAAATTCCACTTGTAAAAAAGTTAATTACAGGCAAAAATGTGTAAGATCTTACTAAAATTCTTGTGTATCTTGGACACAGCAGTGGCAGCTAACTTGTAATTGTGATCATTTTTTTACAAATGAAGATGATGTTTCTGCCTTCATTAGATTTTCTAAGTTTAAATTGTAGGGATTGTACCACAGAAATAACATACTGTACTTCAGAAAAATCAGTCAGGTGCTTAACTATTTGCATAGCCTGAAATAAGACTCTTCAGTTGGAAAATGCTGATTGTTGTATGAAGTAGTGAACAAGTGTTACTTTTAAGATCAAAATGAGACTACCTGTACTAGAAGCAGTTTTTCAAAGCATGCTCAGTAGTCCAAGTAATTGCAAGTCTGCTTAACAGTTAGCATAGAATTTGTCCCTCTACAGAAAGTCATTTGCTTTATCTGAGAGAAGGTATGTGCTAATTTATGAAGAATGGCATTAGGTTTATTAGAGCTTCACTTAAATGTTTTTAAATTTTACATGTGTCCTATGATAACTTCAGTTCTTAGTTTTGTAATTAGTGTTTTTAAACAGAGCTTACAGTTACTACTCTTTATGGACCCTGACTACAGGTTGCTGTGCATCTTATTTTTCCCTTAAAGTAATAAGTTTATCATTTCATCATAGAACAGTTTGGGTTGGAAGGGACCTTAAAGATTGTCTAGTTCCACCCCCCCTGCCACGGGCAGGGACACCTTCCACTAGACCAGGTTGCTCAAAGCCCCATCCAACATGGCCTTGAATGTCTCCAGGGATGGGGCATCCACAGCTTCTCTGGGCAACTTGTTCCAGTGTCTCACCATCCTCACAGTAAAGAATTTCTTCCCAATATCTAATCTAAATCTACCCTCTTTCAGTTTAAAACTGTTACCCCTCATCCTGTCACTACACTCCCTGATAAAGACTCCCTCCCCATCTTTCGTGTAGGCCCTCTCTAGGTACTGGAAGGCTGCTGGAAGGTCTTCCCAGAGCCTTCTCTTCTCCAGGCTGAACAACCCCAACTCTCTCAGCCTGGCTTCATAGGAGAGGTGCTCCAGCTCTCTGACCATCCTCATGGCCCTCCTCTGGACCTGCTCCAACAGGTCCATGTCCTTATGTTGGGGACTCCAGAGATGGACACAGTACTCCAGGTGGGGTCTCATGAGAGCGGAGTAGAGGGACAGAATCACCTCTCTCAACTTGCTGGCCACGCTTCTTTTGATGCAGCCCAGGATGCAGTTGGCTTTCTGGGCCAGAAGCAGATATTGCTGGGTCATGTTGAGCTTCTCTTCAACATTTCAATGGTGGAAGAAATAATTAAGTTTCTCTTCCTGAACTGGATGTACTATCTGTTAGCACATGAAACAAGGTCAAGAAGAATAAAGATTTATGCTACTCACAGCATGTTAACTTCTGATTATTGTTAAACTATTGGCTTACTGTGAGTCAGATGGATATGATATGTGTGCGTGTATTTGAGAGATACATTTATATTTAAAGTCTGCACATACAATTTTTTTTTATTTGCACAGGTGCAAACTATTCTACAAAAAGGATAATGAATTTAAAGAAAAAGGTGTAGGAACATTACACTTAAAACCAGCAGGAAATGAAAAAACTCAACTCCTAGTCCGAGCAGATACGAATTTAGGTAAGTAAATTTATTTGAGTAGCAAGTCTTGATGTGAAATTCCCTGCTAAGTGTTAGGATATTTTTTGTTACACAGCATAACAGACATGATTAGTGAAAACCTTTCTACTGTTTTTGAATAATTTCAGGTATTGAACAAGTAATTGGATGCCTCTAATGAGTATTACAAAATAGTGCACGTGAAGCACTGAAAGGAAGTAAAAGGTTATGGTTATGTTTGGGTATTTCCTCCCCCCTTCCCCTTTTTTTAATGGCTTTTCTCCATCCCTGACTTGTTGAGTGGCTTTGAAGCGTGGCTTAAGATCCACAATGCAGTATACATTTATCAGGTGTGATGAATGAAAAGGAACAAATTTTGTGCTAAGATGTAGGACAAATGTCACTTGTCTGCAATTCATCCTGACTGTGTAAATAGTTGGGCATGTGAGCAGACATCCATCGTACTTGGGGATAAAGGGGAACATTATATAGATCAGGCATGCAGGGTTTTGCTATATGCATTACTCTTAAAATGCATACTGAAGTCCAGCTGTTGAACTGTGCTTTAGCTAACTTCAGTTGATCACAAATGGTAGGTTGACTCTATAGAATTAGAATAACCTTTAGTGTCATAGTTCCTCAGAATGTCTTTTGAGATGAACATTAACATATACAGCTAATTAAAGAGGAAAAAAACCCCAACTGTTTCTTTAATATATCAACTAAGTTCTAAAAGCAAAGTTTTTAAGGTGTAATGTTCTGGCTGAAGAGCGTTTACACGCTCAAACTGTGCAAATCAGTGTTTTGGTATTCAGTGTTGAGAAACTTTGCTACACTTCAGTACCTAATTTCAACAAACTTGCTTGTGGCATTCACATGCTCTTGACAACTCCATAAAACAAAATAAACATGCTTATAAAAGACCTGAGGACTAAAGCCAGGCAGCACTGTAGGCCATTGGTAAATCTCACCTCACTTTCAGTTTATAATGCACTCTAGCAAGTCTATGTAAAGACTCTGCAGGTCCAGTAGGGGCAGTTCTCAAATACCTGGTGAGACTGGGACTCCTGTGTCAGTCACTTCTGAATCACGAACTTCTTTCAGTGGAGACAAGGTTTGCCAGATAAAGGGCAGTTCTTAGCAGTAAGGCTGAATGCAGATGTATGGCAGCATCGTCGGTGCTTTCAGGATTTCCTTGGGGATTTGAATGGGTTGAATAGGGTAGATGAAAACGCTGTTTCTTCAAGTTACCTGCCCTTTAACACAAGTCTTGATTTTCACTCAGCTGATGCTAATTTTCATGATGTTGATTTACATTCCCTCTACCTTCATCTGAGGTGATATATTAGGAAATCTCTCCTTTTTCTTCAGCTCATACACTAAGACGTTTCAGCTTGGTGTTTCCAAGCATTGGTTTCTAGAAGCTGCTGCAGTCATAGTGATGCATACTTTCCTTTTTGCTATCTTCACACAGTGCTATAATCCTTTCCTAAAATCTCACTGTGTTGAAAAACTGAACTGGAAAGGAAGGCGAAGACTTGACTTTTCCCTAAATACTACTACCGTGTTCTGAACTATTTACCAGGTTTACAAAATGCGTGCGTCTTCTGTGGAAGCAGATTTGAGTTTGTTTGTGACTGTTTTAATAGACCACTAATACTGAAGCTCTCCAACTCACTACATAATTTAACAAGTTGATGTAGAGCTGTTGTTAGTAACCCAGTGGAAGACCACATCAGATGCGTTGTACAATTTGAGGATACAAAATACTTACTCTACCATAGTTTGTCCAATTTTACATTAACATGTCAGTACGTGTGTTAAAGCTAACTTTTTGCTTCTGCTTATGAATTGTGCTTGATGGTCAGAACGAGTAACTTGCATAAGCATAAACTAAGCACTGACTGGATTCCTCATTTGCTGCTTCTCCCTTGTCCCCTTCCCTTTCTCCTATGTGTCCCTACTATCATTTGATATTCTTCAGATTCCTCCCTTTAAAAAAGGAGGACACAGTATTTTCAGAGATTTCCTCGTTCCTGAAGAGGAAAGAAATACGTGAGAGCAGTGGCTGCAAGCAGATGCTTAGGGAAGAGTAAGACAAGTATATATGATATTTGTGAATTGCCTTCCTTTCAAACACAAACTTAAATCCCTATTGAGTAAATATACTAACATCTGTATTGTAGTAAAAGCTGAAGAATTGCTGATTGTCATTTTTTTCCTCCTCTCATGCAGGAAACATACTTTTGAATGTTCTAATTCCACACAAGATGCCATGTACAAGAACCGGAAAAAACAATGTTCTTATAGTTTGTGTTCCTAATCCACCGATTGATGAGAAGAATCCAGCTGTTCCTGTCACTATGTTAATAAGGGTGAAAACAAGTGAGGATGCAGACGAGTTGCACAAAATCTTACTGGAGAAAAAGGAGGCTTAAATAAGTTGCAGTCAGTGATTTGAGGAATTATTGCCAAACTGCTGCTGCTCTTTTTTTCTTCCATAACTTCACTTGAACACTTAACTCTTTACTCTGATATTAAGAACTGTTATAGGAATTCTGGAAAAATTCTGTGAGGAAAAACTAAACTAGCTAATAAAAGCTTTAATAGAACACAAGTGTTGGACTGTGCTCCCTCATTTTTCAATATGTAAATGCAGGACCTCTTCTGGATAAAGCACATTGATTTAAATTAAAGCATATGTTTCTAACGTGGTCAATTTGACCGAATGGACTGAAATCAGAGTACAAAAATATGGTACCAGAGCTTCCTCACAGACTGCGGTGCAATGCAACAACCTCCTGCTTTGAGAAGGGAGGATGTTGAAGTTTAACTGTTAAAACTGTTTCTAGACTCCAGATTTTTAATTTTAATTGGTCTGTCATATTCTGGTGAGACTAATTTTTCAAACTGTTGGTGACAATTTACCCCACCAACAATGGTATTATATATTGTACTGTGTTTTAACTCTTACAGTGCTTTTGGGACTCAGAGACTGCATCTCCAGATATTTAAAAGAAAATTTGTTTGCGTAGTCTTGTTGACAGTAGCGTTTCTTAGAGAAGAACTGTCAGTTCTGTTCTTACTGTAGCAACAAGCTAACAATGTGCAATAGTACAAGCAGACAACTGGAAGACTGTTTATCTTGGACCACAATCACAGCTGGCATTTGCTGACTTCGGACAAGTCCGAGGCAAAGGGTTGCACTTCCATTATGGTCCCTCCGAGGTACTCTTCCCTAGTCCCTTGGGCTAAAACTGAAACCCAGCAGAGGCAGAGTTGTAAATGTTGTACTTGTGTCGCTGCTAGTACTTCTCTGAAGATATGTCTTTTCACAAACAAATTTCAGGATTTTTATAGATCTTTATACTGCCTCTGGCCATTACCAAGAATACATGCATAAATGTGTGTGTGTGTCAATAATTACTTTTCCTGTGTGCTAAAACTACAGTGCTTTACTGCATTACATTAAGTAAAGCAGTAGTTTGCAGCTTTAGGACAAGCTTTCTGTCACAGAAGTAGGGAGCACTAGGTTAATCTATAACTTAGTTTTCAGCTGTGTTAAAATTAACCATGTGGCAATAACTTGTGAATCAGAGCATCATTCTGTTCTCAGTTTCCATCTCAACTTTATCAGACCTTGTTTGGTTATTTAATCTTTTTCAAATCTTGTTTGCTGGAAATTCCTTCCCTAATAATTGTTTTTCTGCTTCACTTCCAGCTCTGGAAACTATCCAAGAGCTAAATGGTAATATTAACCTTGAACTGCTGTCTGATCTGTCGCACTGACCAGCTCTGGGGAGATGGAAGAAACTTGCCAACCCTTCTCTGGCTAATGTGACACAGAGGAAAAAAATATGCCATTCTTAAAAAAAAATATAAATAAATGCAGCATGATGCAATTCTCACAGGGGACCTGGAAATCCACAATAGTGGCATCCTATGGGTGGGGAAAAAGTAGCAGCAGCATTTGATTAGATGCAGCACATCTTACCTGCTCCCCCACTGCTCTCCGTGGGGGACCAAACAGCTGTCTTTAGTCCTCATTCACTGCACAATTCAGGTTATGGCCTTTTTTCCCCCTCACAACTAAAAGGAGGAAAAACTTTATAGGATCTATAGCCTTCTTGACCAAAGTTCAAAAGCAAAGGCCTCTGCCCACATTTCAGCTGCACTGAGGTCACAGAAATTGCATTTTTAACACTCAAGTGTAAAGGAAGCTTAGATAAGATTTCAATTATTATTTGAGATATAAACTGGTGCCTTTTTTTTTATCTGGCTCAGTACTTAACCATTGAAAGTAAGTGACATTACTTTCCTCAAAATAATGTGCTTTTTTGAAAAACAAAGTCTTGCTGATACTTAAATTGGAGGCCACAAGCTGAAAGCTTGCATGTTAGTTGTGTATGAATGAAAAGCAGAATATTGCCTGAAAGTTTATTACAGGCTCAGGTTTAATGTCCAAGGGCTCAGTTATTTTTGCATTTGTTGTTTGACTGTAGTGTCTTAAACATGTCTCCATGCAGAAAGGTCTACAGACTGGATGTGGTAAGAGGATTTGTTACGCATCCCACTTTAAGAGCAACTCTGTAGAGATTGTGTCAGTGGTCTTGGGTTTGTGTTTGTTTACTTCCGAAAGCTCACGGATACGTAACTGTTTCTTCATCCATTGAAATGTGGACCAACTGACTTGAACAACTGAGAGACAAACTGAACTTCCTACGTATCCTTACGATTTGCCTCCAAAGTGAGGCAGTCTTGGGGTTTTGCACGCACGAGTTTGGCCCAGTTCTAAAGCTGGCAAACTGAATAACGACTAGTGCCTCTCTGCCAGGTGTTCAAGAGTGGGCATTCTGAGGGTGAGCACAGAGTGTAAGGAAAAATAAATAGAATAGTAATAAATCGTGTTGGAAAAATTAAACCTTACAATATCAATATCCATGGTAGCAAGTAATATCTTCTATTAGCTATGGGAAAGACTAATTGAGATGAGACACCTTAATTCTTTAGCAATGTATGGATTTATCAGTAAAGCTAGGGGAAGGTATATAATTGGAATCTCGTGTTAATTAGAATGTCAGTTATATACATGAACATTTTACATGGCAAAAGTTGCCACTAAAAGACTAGGGAAGAATTTTACTGCAAATTAGAGATTTTAATTGGCATCAATCGTAGTGACCCTGCAATTATCTGGATTATGAAGCAGGATAAACCAATCATAGGCTTTTCACTTGGTGTTCACTTACAAAGCACAACCCTTCTCCAGTACTGTTATAAAAAAAAAAAAAAAAGATGCTTCAGTTTCTAGTTAAGAAATATTAAAATACATAAATACTGTAAAAAGCCAGAGATTATTACATAGAAATAAAGGCCTAAAAGCAAAAGTTAGTGGAGAGCACAGAAATCAATATACTAATGCCTTCATAACAAAGTGGCATGTGCTATACAAGGAAGGAATTTTGATCAGAATTCCAACTCAGTGAGGCACTCCTGTATCTTGGTAGATATTAAATATATTTAACAGCTGGATGTCAGATACCTGATATTAAAGATGCAAGTTTCCTCCCTAATTTGCCTTTGCTGTTTCAGCTGTACATCGGTGGAGTGTCTCATGGATCATGCATTCTTCCTTCTGCTGTAATTTTGAAGTTTCAGTTGCTTAGAAATCTTTCTTTTCCTTTTCACCTCCCCAAAACAGAAAATGAAGATCTCTGTTGCTTTTAATTATCAGAATAATCTGTAAAGGAGATTATTACAGTTGGTTTGAATTTTGTTTTAACATCAAATTGCTATATGCAGGGTTTTTTTTTGGTAATGTACTTAAAATTATCTATTTGGGAGCACAACAGCGTGTTCATATCCCTTTTGGTTGATGAACATGAAAGTTTAAATTAAATTTACAGTTCAAATGAACATGTTGTAGAACGTGAACCAATTAGGAGGTACGCTTTACTATTAAGAACTTCAGTTCAGCTCCCTTTGCAGCACTGTAACATTTAAAATGTCCTTAAAGACTTTCTTTCCGATGCCTTAACTTATTTGCATTTGCTAAAATTTTGTAGCTGGTGCCTGTGTGCAGAAATTACCTGACATTAAACAATTTAAAGTGGCATGACCTAGTATAAATCCAAGGAAATTCCTGAATGTGATGACTTGTTAATTGTTAATAGATTTCAAACTGCTCTGAATTTTTCAGTGGATACTTAAGTTTCACATAACTTGTCATGTAACAATGTTTTCATTAGTTCTAATACATTGAGGAAGTGTACAAAAATCCATGGAAAATGTGAATAAATGAATGGGAGATAAGTGTCTCGTGTATCTCTTTTTGACTTTGACTGTGTAACACTGTATTAATAAAATTAATTTTACAATCAGTTGCTTGCAGGCAAACTCCTGCCTAGAAAATCCTGCGCACAGCCTTACTGCTGCTAAAAGAAGCAGTGTCCTCCTGTGCCCCTTCCTCACACTGCCTTTGAAACCTGTCACATCGCTGAGAGCCAGTTCAGCAAAAACGCCTTCCTCCTGCAAGGTCAGTGAGCTGAATCAGCTCCTGGAGGGGGGCTAGGGCTGCCTTTGACTAGAGAGAGAAAAACTAGTGCTTGCATGCTAAGAAAATGACTGTAGAGATCCACCTCTAAAAATCCCTCCACTTGGAACGTTAAAAGAGCAAAAGCAACCTGTGTTTGCCTGATGGCATACGCAGAACGTATTTTTAGATCTAGCCTGAAAGTGCTATCTCCTAATGCCAGGCCACAAAGCGATTCTTTTCTTCATTGGTTTGTGACAGTTTGGCAAAAGGAGGGGAAAAAAAAACAAAACAAAACGCCCAAACAAACCAAAATCAAGACAGACTTGTTCTGAAAAGTGTAGATCATCTTTCCAATGCACCAGGAACTGTGGAGGCCATGACGGCACCTGTCATCCAACTGTACTTTCTATTATGCTGTTGAGACCTCCCTTAATTCCCTTCATGGTCCTGGAGCTATCCAGGTTATGCCCACAAATGGGAGCTACTTCTTGCACGTGGATGCAACTATTGGTTAGCAAAGATTATCATCTCAACACCCCTACAAGTGCAATGATTGGGAAACCCAAGAGCCTATGTTGAGTTTATTGATAGTGACTGCATCCTTAAGAGTGCCACATTACTACCTAAATTGCCCAGTACTTTTTTTTTTTTTAAAAAAAAAAAA